GGCTTCGAGGTCCCAGGGGAGGCTACCGGAGATAAGGCACGCCGCCTCGTACGACACGGTGCGGTACGCTCTGGAGGCCCTCTGAGCCATGGTCCGCTGCGCACGTCGCAGCAGGACCATGTTGCCTTTGCTCAGGGGCCTCGTCGCCCATATGGGCGCTCCGTAGAGCGCCTTAGAGCGTACCACACCATCGTACAGGCGGCGGCACACACCGCCCGCCCCCCCGCAGTTGGGGAGCAGCCTGGCGAGCATTCCCGCATACTGCACCAGCTTTGGTGCCAGTATCCAGAAATGTTCACCGAACCCCCATTTGCTGTCGAGGACGAGACCAAGATATTTCATGGTCCCCCCGACAGCAATGGGGGTGCCGCTCACCGCGATGGAATATCCGCGGGGGGGCTTAGTCCGAGGCCCATGAAAGAACATGGCCTCGGACTTCTCCAGGGCCACGCTCAAGCCCAGAGCCCTGATGCGGCGCACTACATGGGCCGTGCCCGCAGTAGCGAGCACGCCCGCGTCCCGGAACGTTGGGCCCGACGCGGTGACCAGGGTGTCGTCGGAGTAACAAAGTACGCCGACACCCCGGAGATTGGCACCGCGCAGGACCCAATCGTATCCGATGTTCCACAGGAGCGGCCCGAGGACCGACCCCTGTGGAACACCGCACGTCATGTCCCGGCGGACTACTTGGTCCCGGGCCGGGTAAAAGATGGCCCGGTTGACGAAGTAGTCCGCCAGGACTCGCCTGAGGTACCCCGGGACGCGGTGGTACCTCAGCGCCTCCGCGATTGTCGTCCAGGGGATCGTGTTGAAGGCGTTGGCGATGTCCAGTGACACCGCCAACAACACTCCCCCCTGGCCGACAACCTCCTCGACCCTGTCCCTGAGTCGGGTGATGGCGTCGACGGTGGATCGCCCGCGACGGAAGCCGAACTGGCCGCCGCTCAGGTCGGGCCCAACCGCCTCCATGTGTGCGACGAGGCGTGCCACGAGCACTCGCTCAAACAGCTTGCACGCCTCGTCGAGCAGCACAATGGGGCGATAGGCCGACGGCGAGTCGGCCGGGCGCCCGTGCTTCCTGAGAAGCACGAGCTTGCCCGTCTTCCACCGTCGCGGGACCCTCCCGGACGCCAAGCACTCCGACAGCAGGGACAGCGTCTCCTCCTTGAGGACCGGCACGACATAAGCGAGGACCCGCTCAGAGACGCCGTCTGGGCCCGGGGCGCGGTTCTTCAGCCTGAGCCTAAGAACCGCTGCCTCCAGTTCGGCCTCGGAAACGGGCGGGACTTCCTCGCCCGCTGCGGCCGGTCCCGAAGGATCCGGCACCGCCATCCTCGGCGGCACCCACTCCTCCCTCGCCGGGAAGAGGGAGCCGACCACCTGCTCTGTTAGGAGGGGCTCGAGAGACCTGGTCAGCGGGGGAGCCCATGGTCGGAGCTTTTTGCTCACGACCTTGTATGGCCGCCCCCACGGGTCCTGGTCTAGGCTCTCGAGCCACTCCATCCAGGCCTCCTCCTTGGCGGCCTTTATGGCCGAGGTGAGCGCCGCACGTGCGGCCCGGTACGCGGCAAGCAGCGCCTCCTCCTGGTCCAGGTTCCTCCTGCTTCTCCTGCGGCTGTGGGTGTACGTGCGGCGAGCCACCTGGCAAGCTGTACGAAGCCCAGCCAGGTGGGGTCTCCACCAGTACACCCGCGTCGTCGGCAGGGCTGGACCAGCGCGTCGCATCGCCGCGTCGCAGACGCGAGTCAGCGCTCCTGCGAGCCGGTCGCACCTCGCGTCTGCGTCCAGGCCGCTCAACGACCAGTTGGCGACCCACCTCTCCACAATGGCCGCCTCCTTGGCCAGCTCCGGGTCCAGGGTGGACACCTTCCACTGTGGACCCTCTCCCGGCAAGGGACGGTCCGGCGCGACGGTCGGAGCGTCCGAGGGGGCGGAGACCATGTCGAACCGGATATAACGGTGATCCGACAGGGTCTCCACCCCCTCCTCCACTCACCACCTCCTCGTGCGGCGAGCCAGGGCGGGGCTCGCGAAGGTCAGATCCACGATGGACCCGCCCTGACTCCGCACGCACGTCTGGACCGTCCCCCTGTTAAGGAGGACGAGTCCCGTGGACACCGCCCAATCTGCCAGCGTCTCACCCCTGAGGTTTGTCGCCGGAGAACCCCACGCACTAGATTTGACGTTGAGGTCTCCGGCGACTACCACAGGGGTGGGGTGCACATCGGTCACAAGAGCGCCGACTTCGGCGAGCAATCCGCTCGAAGTCGGCAAAGCTCTTGCTCGGCGCGAAGTACACCCCGATCACTGCAACGCCGCCCAGCGACGCTAGGACCCAGCCGCGACCCTTCGTTACATTGTCGAAGGGTGCGGGGCCCGTGCGCCGCCAGGCGACGATAGCCACCGAGTCGTCCTGATCGCCCGCCCAGTCGTCGCGGGGGCGGACGTAGTACGGCTCGGAGACTATGGCTACGTCGATCTTCCACTGCGCCGAGGTTTGAATCAGAAGATCCTGTTCCGCGACACAGTGGTTGACGTTCGCCTGCAGAATCGAGACACTTTTGGCCATTATTGTTGGGCGGTGTCCATAGCCTCCACCTCGGCGGCTGCCGTAGACGACGAGGCGGGGGGTCCAGGTTTGCCCCCGCCTGTCTTCTTCTTGCCGCCTTTATTTGGAGGCCGGTTCATCGCCGGACACTTTTTGTGTCCCAGTCGATGACCGGCCTCCACGCCATCCGATACGCAAATCGCGCAGGAGGGCTCCGCCACGCACGTCGCGGCCTTGTGGCCCGGCTGGCCACACCGGAAGCACAGCGCGCTGCGGTCGGTGCAGCAGTCGCACTGCACTCCCAGGTGGCCCGGCACCAGGCAGCGGTAGCACCGCTGCGGCCGCGCCTCGAGGAGGGTTGCCCTGACCGTCGACCAACCGACCGTGAAACGGCCGGCGGCGATGATATTTTTGGCCGCCATGACCGGGCACTTCACCCAGACAGTGCCCTGGCGGCCAGGTGGGCGATTGATAACGCCCACCTTTACTCCACTCTCAGGGCAACCCCCCACCATCGCCACTTGCGCCGCTACCGCCTGGCTGGTGGCCGCATCTCCCAGGCCGGAGATACGCATCACTGCGCAGAGCTCCGGCCGGGAGACGCGGGCGACGTCTCCTATCGTCGCCCGCAGCTTGGCAGCCAGTTCGTCGGCCTTATGGCCCTTGTTGGCGCCAGCCACCTCCAAGACTCGGCCGCCGGTTCGCGCCGTGCGGAACCGGAGGCCGTCGATGCCCAGGGCCGAGAGGTCCACAGACTTCTCGGCCCTGTCCATGACGGCCTCGTAGGTCGTCATGGACCCCTCTGGCAGCGTAACGACGACTGCGGCCGATTTCAGGGCACGCAGTCGCCGTCGGGGGGCCCTCTTCCTCTTCTTCTTGGAGACGGCGGGCGCCGCAGCGGCCGGGGCCGTCGGCTTTGGGACCTTAGCCTTGAGCGCCACCACACTCCAGCCCTCATCGGGCTGGGAGGTGGCAGGCGCCGGCTCGCGCGCTGCCTCGGCCTCAAGGGCCGCAAGGCTCTTCTTGCCCTTCCCCTTCCCCTTTTTCCACGTGCTGGCACTTCATTTTGGCCGATTTCTTGGCGACGCTGGCAATAACTTCCAGCGCCGCCTCAACCGAGCGAGGTCCTCTGCGCAGCGCTCACCGGACGCCGCCGTCTCTCCGGGACCCTCGGGCATTGCTGCCCGGGCCCGGGATCGCAGCACCCGGTTCCTCTCCGCGACCTCCGCCGCCAGCTCCGCCTCCGCCTGCAACTCGAGCTCACGCTCGCGCTGGGCGTTAAGCTCCGCCTTAGCCCTTGCGAGGCCGGCGTATTCGCCCGTTGTTATGGGGCGTCCGCGCCCTCTCTTTCGCGGCGCCGTTTTGGCGCCAGCCACTCCATCTCCTCGTTCTGGCGTAAGCGATCGCTTACGCCAGAATCTGCTTTGTGGGGAGCGCGATCTTGAGCGCATGCCCCCGCTCACCTCCAGAGAGGTGCAGCTGCCACTGTCCCACTCCTGTCCTGACAGCTGCCTCTCCAGGACCATGGGTGAGCCGCACCGAGAGAGCGACGCTCGCAACTCCCGGCCGACCACACCCAAGGCCCGGTTCCCTCCTTCGACTAATGCCGCATCGTCGTGCAAATCGGTTGCCGTTTCTTCGTTGCCATGGTCGTTTGGTTTTTGTTTTGGGTTTTCCATACTAAATCCCACGAGTATGGGGGAAGGGGTGGTCCCGGCCGGCAGAGCCCCCTGTGCCGACCTCGGCGTATTTGCTGTGGAGGTCCGCCGGTATCCACAGGTTTTAACGACTTCGCTGTCGGGTTTTTATTGACTGATCCTTGTCTTGGGCCGGCCAATTAAGGCAAGCCCCCTGTCCCGGTCGCTACGCCGCTAGACATGACAACGACACGCTACGACCGAGACAGGTTGCCCGGCGTTGTCCCGAAGGACATCCCCCTAAGTGTGGGTTAACGCACCCAGGGGAACCGCCGCGCCGCGGAGTACTTCCGCCAGACCCACGTCCGAAGACCGCTGTCCAACAGGACCGACACAAGGGAGTCACTACTCCCACGCCGGCTTAGCCGACGACGACGCCGGTCTGCACCAGCTCATCAGTCAGCTCTGAAAACAGTGCCAGACTGTGTACTGGGCAGAAGCGGCAACTCGCGTGGTGCTCGAAGAGCACCGCGCCGCGGACCTTGAAGGTCCGCCATCCAACGACCCCTCACACGGGTCAGCTGGCCGGATATTGGTCAGCGACAGATGAGTTCCCTTCCTCCGTAGAGAAAAAGGAACCCATCTGCCGCGCCCAGGGTGCACCAGGTCAACCGCTTCCATTCCCCCGGGACTTGTCCCAGAGCAATCCAAGCGGCGACCCATCGTGGAGGTTTCCGTCCCTCGCACCCCATGTAGAACATAGTCTGGAAGAACACATATTATGTTGTTTTTTTTAATTCCGCCCAGACGGAGTCGCGGGGCACAGCTAGTATATAATATGAGTAAAATACATTAATATTCCATTCCATACATTTAGCCCTTATGACTATATTTTCTATGTTTATGATTATTATTACATATAATGTATTGTTTCAGGACTGGTGGGAGAATACTTTAGTATACTTCAGTTGGATCCCGCGCGCGTTGCTCGCCATCATCATAGCTGTGGAGGAGGAGGTGTACGCCAGGATCGCGAGGTGGCTCAATGATAAAGGTACATTTATATATTATATTAACAGTTTTTATAAAACAACAAATGTATTTTTAACATGAATAGTTCTCAGTTTCAATGCTAGGATTTCAATTCTGTAAATAGTTTTAAGAATTCACGCTAGATGTCACTCTTAATCTTATAAATTTTATTAGTGTTTGATATATTATAGACCAGGGGTGACCAACTAGTGCACCGTGTTACTAATATTATAAATGAGAAAGTTTGGATGTTTTTTATCACGTATCTGAAAAATTGCTTGACAGATATGGATAAAAATTGCCACAGAATAAGGGAATCGTCTGGAAGAAGATATAAGCTACTTACCTGTTTTTTTTAGTTCCTCACGAACGAAATCGCGGGCATTAGCTAATATAAAATAGGACAGAAAATGTATTTTTTTAATTATTATTAACTGAGAAATATCGTTAGTTTTATGTTTTCCCTTATAATAAAATATAATTATTGTGTCCTGAATTATTCTGTTTCATTTAAGGATTTAATAAGATTTGTAATTGATAGGTCGCATAGGATATCTTCAAATAATAGATTTCAGATTTAATCAAGTTGGTCACCCCTGCTATAGGCACTTACAAAGCAACATTTATTTCAAATATTACTAGGTAACTTATTTATATTTTATCCTTATGACGTCAGATAGGAAGTAAAAATTTAATATATTCTTACAGTTTATTTATATTTATAAATGTACTGTTCGTGTACAAAAACATAACATGAAGTAATGAACGTAACTTATGTTTTTGTACACGTATAGCACAATTTTTATTCGAAGTCTATTATGTACTCTACTAAGATAAATATTATTAGAACAAAATATACTTATAGTTAGTAAATAGTAAGAAATATCAATGTATTTTTGATTAAATCGTTTAAAATATAAAAAAATAATAATTAATTTATGAGTTATATAACTAAAACTTAATTAATATATAGTCATTGCATGGTTTGATACTATCCTAAACTTTTATTATAAAACCAAAATAAATTTCCAGCACAAATAGATAATCTAATCTAGATCTAGACATAGCTGTAGTAAATCTGTAGCTATATGTATTATAGAATGCTATATTTCTCTTTAATGCTTACCCAATGGAAACGGACACAAAAACAACATCCATTACAACGGTCTGCAACTTGGATAAAACTGCGATTTTTTTTTATCACTAAAATAAAGAAAATTATCGACTCGAAACAAAATATGAAAATCATCTGATTGTCAAAATTGCATTGGTTTGTATTTATAAAGCTGTAAAATAACAGCGCTTCGCTTTACATTAAAATAATATTCATCGATTTAATCCATCACAGCATTTTTAGCACTTGCATGTTTAATGCATGTAATTTGAATAATTGGTACATAAATAATTGTCAGTAAGCTCTCTTTAAACATCTCAGTAACACAACATTTCCATTTTGAAGTGTGTTTATGAAATTATTTAAAATTTATATGCTTTAGGGATACAGAAATCGTATAATATTCGAAGCACTCAATTGTCGACATTTGGATGTCACATCACTACGTCGTCCCATAAAATCAATGGGTGCAAGTGAGAGCGATACATTGTTCTACTCCTTCTTCGCGGGTCTCTAGTGTTGTCGATTATTCTGAACATATCGATTAGTTGCATATTAGTTTATTCAAACATTGTCATTTAGTACACGTCATTTTATAACAGTTACGAAGTTTTTTTTTTCGCAATAAATTTTCTACAATGTTGTTTTGTTTATCACTGATTTATACTTATGGCGGTATTCGTGTCATTTCTATTTACTTTAATAAAGGGGAAAATAAACACTTTTGGTAGAACCGATTACAATTGTCATGTCTAATCGTTGGTTTCTGAGTACAAAATCTCTGTATAAAACATATCATCCTTGTCATTATCTATGAGTACACAGAAATAACAATATGTTTTAAACGGATATTTTAGCCTGAGAAACCCACTGTTACACTCTTTAATGTTAGTTTTGAACTAACTGGTGGTTAATTAGCTAATACTTTAAAATGGTCTCGGAAGAATTGTTGCTAAATTATATTTAACAGTGGTAGAGCCCGCTTTAACATCTTCGCACGAATTGTCCCGGCTCGCCCGGTGAAATACCACGACCACACAGAAGACACGCGTCAAGTGGAAGCAATTTCGCGTTTCCTCTGATGAGTGTACGTCCCGGAGCCCTAATTTATTCCTCTTTCCCTTCCTACCCACTTTCTTATAACGAAAGGATGGGAAGTGGAAGTTGACTTTCCGGATGAGAGGATTCATGGAAAGGGAAAATATTTTCTTTTTGTGCATCCTCTCCTCCGTCGATTAAACGCATATGCAATTGCGTATGTCTATGGCAACGCATATGCAATTGCGTATGTCTATGGGCAAGGGTCACTTCGCTATTTCAGCGATTTCAGGTGGCCGCTCGCTCGTTTGCTACCTTGTAATATGAAAATAATAATAAGGATTCTTTTAACAATATTAATATGAAACTAACCACCAAAGATTGCTTTATTCAAATTTATTTACTGACATTAAGCACATATCGTCATTGTTGTAAATAAGTGGCTTCACTTTAATGCTTTTGATGTAATAAATATATTATAATATCGAAATAATACATTATTAATATTTGCTTTTCAGTTTCAATTCGTTAACTCGTTCATGAGTTTGTTCTACATTGCGTTTTATCTTCAGGATATGGATAAATTGAAAGAGGTTAGTGAGCAATGGTTACATTACATTTATAGATTTAAGATAAACTTTGGCTACAAATTATTAATTTTAGGGTTCCGTATCTCGAAATGAAAAAAAACGGAATCCTTATACGATCACTGTGCTGTCTGTCCGTCTGTCAAGACCCTTTTTTACTAATAATGTTTTTATAATATTAATTTAATAATATTGTTGTACTTTTTTTTTAGCAATTAGCTGTGTTATTAATAACGAGACAAATAATAGGAAATCTGAAGGAATCAGCTCTTCCCTATCTTATTGAGAATTTAAGATTGGCAAAGATTTGTGTTGATGTGTTTGGTGCTATAAGTCCTAGCAAAAGTAAGTATTTTTTTGATTTTTTAAATTTATTTTTGAGAAGGGTAGGGGGTTGATGGTAATATGCAATTGTGTAATACAGAGACCTTTTTTATTTTTTTTATTAAATGTATTCGCCTCCAGTCAGTAAATAAATACGCGTGACATTTGAGCCCTTCCCTCCTCGTGATTGCTTTTTTTTTATATTTAACGGTTTTTGTTCAAAATTAGACAATAACAAAAGGCATAAAATTAGTAATGACGTTTAAACCAGTAGATTCCGTATAATCCTCAATAATTCTCCTTCGTCCGCGCCGAATTAAAAAAAATTAAATCATCCATTCATCCATCCATCCATACATCCGAACATCCGCATTTATAATATTAATAAGATTGTATTTATTACAGTACCTTCATCAACACAAATCACCGAGTTATTTGAGAAGAGAACAAGTTCCAGCGGAGATCCGCCTGAAGCTTTGGTGAATGGTACAGATAAAGAGGCGGAGAGACGAGACTCTGAGACTGCGGTTGGACAGAAAGTTATACATCAGGCAGAGCTCGAGTCGCAGTTGTTTAAGGTGATATATTTATTTGTTAATAAAATAAAAAAAAAAACTAATAATACCCACATCACACTCTGGGGAACAATATGAATCGAATGTCACTCGTCATAATCGATCTTTTGGGCGATAGCAGGTCATAATGGAACAAGGATATGTGGGTATAAGGTAAAAACTAAACTCATCGATAAAAGCGAATCGAAACCGAGTTTAATAAAAAAAAAATAGTTTGATTACTACAGTCATTCTTTTTTTCGTTTTTGATCGGATTTAAAAAAAAATTGGGTTCAATCTTGTACAGTCGAAAATGTATAACCCAGAGTCATTGTCTGATCCATGAGCGAGAAACTTCGGTTAAAGAAAAACCTCTATAAGCGAGAAAGATTACGCTGTCCTCTTGGTCTCTCGATCAAGCTTTAAAATTTGATACAAATCTTTGGTTATAATGACAATATAATGTTTTATGAATAAAGCCATTTGATATTTGATTTGTTTAATTGTGTATTATTTAGTACGAAGGCACATTCTCTGAGTACTTGGAGATGTTGACTCAGCTGGGTCACGTGGTGCTGTTCTCCGCCGCGTTCCCCCTCGCCGCGCTGTGTGCGCTGCTCAACAACGCGGCGGAGGTGCGCGCGGACGCGTTCAAGTTGTGTCACGTCGCGCAGAGACCCTTCGGAGAGAGGGTCACCAGTGTTGGTAGCTGGCAGGTATGGTGATATCACTCCGACACATTGTACTATGCTATACTTCAAAATGACAAACTTATAAAAATATTATTTACCTTTATGGGACCTACTAGCTGTTCATGACTTCGTCGCGTGAAATTAATAAAACATAATTAGAAGTTTATGTATTCTACCAGATTATGTTCTATATGTATGCCAAATTTCAGCAAAATCCCTTGAGCTGTTTAAGAGATATATTCTAACAAACATCCATCCATCTAAACTTTCGCAATTGTAATGTTAGTAAGATATAAAAAAGCCATTGACAGTAAATTTTTCAACCAAATGTTTACAATTATCAAAATTATTTTAAGAGTGGTAGAGCCCGCTTTAACATCTTCGCACGAATCGGCCCGGCTCGCCTGGTGAAATACCACGACCACACAGAAGACACGCGTCAAGTGGAAGCTATTCCGCGTTTCGTCTGATGAGTTTGCGTCCCGGAGGCCTAATTTAGTCCTCTTTCCCTTCCCACCCTTTTCTTATAAGGAAAGGATGGGAAGTGGAAGTGGACTTTCCGGATGAGAGGATGCATGGAAAGGGAAAATATTTTCTTTCTGTGCATCCTCTCCTCCGTCGATTAAAGGTAAGCAACGCATATGCTATTGCGTATGTCTATGGGCAACGGTCACTTCGCTATTTCAGCGATTTCAGGTGGCCGTTCGCTCGTTTGCCACCTTATGATATAAAAAAAATTGGAATATTTGCATGTAATTCGCATTATTTAAAACGAAAATACATTTTATTAATTCGTCTGTCTGTCTATCCGCGCGATTTTGACGGCAATTGTACTGGAATGTAGGTAATGTGTGCTAACGATAGTAACGTAGTCTATTTTTTTATTATTTTGCGCTGAAAATATCTTTGTTATGTTTGCAGCACGCGATGGAGGCGATGGTAGCAGTGGCGGTGTTGGTGAACTGCGCGCTGATTGGTCTGTCGGGTCCCGTACACCGGCTGCTGCCTGACGCCACGCCCGCACAGACAATACTAGTTATTGTTGCTTTAGAGGTAACGTGCATTTTACTCTGTGCAGTTTTGATGTGTAGTCTGTTTTGTTAGAATAAAAGGGATGGCTAAATAAAAGTTGTAAGTTTAAGTTAACGATAGAATTAATATGATTTTGTTGTAAATGTAGTATTCGTGAGGAATCTATAAGCGAGAGTTATTTTCCAATCCCAGCGGACTCCATAAGCGAGAAACTCTTTTGAGAGAAATCTCTATAAGCGAGAAAAAAAAGGGAATCCCTTGGACTTTAATTTAAATTAGACTGTCCGTTTTCAGATCACAATGAAATATTTTAGAAAAATTAGTAAATTAACAAAAATCTGCTGATATTATTTACAAAATATAAATTTAACTTATTTTTATACTTGTAATTTTCAGCACGTGGTATTGGTGATAGTATTCGCGCTGCGCATCGCCATCCCCGAGATCCCGGGCTGGCTCGCCACTGAGATGGCCAAGGTGGAGTTCCAGAGACGAGAGGCTATAAAGAACGCACACGCACCATTGTTGGTCAGTTTCACTATACAATACTATGTTACTGGTCTTGTCTCATGTGCTTACATCGTATGTCAATTATAGCCATGTAGTAGTTTAGCAGAAAATTAAAAAAAAAACACCTCAAGGAATTTATGGACACCCCCTTATTTATTTAAAGCCGTACAAGTTAGTCTTTTTGAAGCAACCTAATTATTGCTAATATCCATCCATCCAAACTACCGCATTTATATTAGTAACATATATTTATATTTAAATCAGTCTGAGTGCACAAGTCAAGACGATGTAAGACCTTCGTCACGCGCCACTCCGCGCACCATCACACCAACAACACCAAAGCAAACAGACAAGAACAAGAAGGTCTTCATAGGCAAGATACCTGAAATACCACCATTCAGGTGAGTCAAAATAATTTAAACTTTAAATGTATGCGCGTATGGTTCATTTTTGATTATTTGCTATGTATTATTTTTGTTTTTGCGTCGGATTTGCGGCTTAAATGTTTGATTTTTGGATAGTTTATTGTGTTGTTGTGTATCAAGGATTGATTTTCACTGTTGAAAATGTTGTACGAATTGTTATTCTTATGAAAAACCGAGGACTGATGAATTATAGTAGAATTTGTATAAGGCTCCTAGGGACAGCGTAATGTTTCTCGCCTATAGAGGAATTTCTCCAACCAGTTTCTCGCTTATGGAGCAGATAATAACTTTCGCTTATCCAGTTTCGAGCTTATTTTAATAGCTATGTTAAAGCAGTGGAATTTCATAGTTATGCAAGACTTGAATCTTATGACGTCATAACCGATTTCTTGTAAAAATAAAGAGCGATATCTTTTTAAATTTTTTTTTTCGTAATTAGTGGCCAGTATTAAGTTTTTTTTTTTAATACTCGTATACATTTTTTTAACAGTATAACGAAAATATAGCATTGAAATTTATTCCATTTTCATTATTTTCTGTTCGTTAAAGAAAATAATTTGCTAAAATTTTATACCATTTTTTTTGGCCTTCCGCGCTTTTGTATTTATCATTATAGTTACGAATATTTTTTTTGCGAGCCTACATTTTGAAATGCTGCATTTTTGACATTTTTACAAAACATATAAATTTGTTTCATTCTTTTTGTTTTCAGTTAATTTCACAAGTTAATTGTACATGGATGGGTGTGTTACCGAGTTTAATGTAATATCTACATATATAAGTATTACTTGTCTAATAACGATACTCTTTGCTTCTTTAAAATATATTATTGTTAAAAAAAATCAGCCTTAAATTGTAGTTTTTCGCTTATTAATCTTAAAAATCTATAAGCAACATGTTTAAATAATTGTAACAATACAATTTCTTGCAATTCCAATGTATTCATTATTGATAATAAAATGAATATTCTATAAAATACTTTCTATTTTAAAAAATATCCCTATTAATTAAAAAAAAAACATATTTTAGGTATTTAAAAGAAAATTTTAAGGTAATTTTTTCATGTATTTAAAACTTAAAAGAGGTTTCATATTTTAATTTCCATTTTTGAATTTAAAATAGATTTTTAAATACAAAGAAAATAGGTTTAATTTGTTTGACTCTGTGAAGCCTCTTTCAAAGTGTATTCTTCAGCTTGTTCTAACTCCGACATCACCTCATCCACATTTCTTTTATTTTTAATTCTATATGTTACATCACGATGCACTTTCGTTTAGCTTCGTGTTGCTATCGGCTTTCTGTGTTTCAGCCTGTGCCTTTGTTTCAAATTCACAGATTAAACATATGTCAATCTGACACACGTCACTTTGACAGCGGTGACATTTTTCATCTAATTATTATTTTTAATCTGTGGCGTTGAAATAGTAATGATACTATGCATATTTCTTTTTTTTTACTTTTTTAATTTGAAGAAATGTGTACGTAATATAAATTTCCAGACCGAAAGCGGCTTCGATAACGGAGCCTGCTGTGACTACGGGATCTTTGCAAATGCTACAAGATGTCAGCCCAACGAAACCTATCAGACGTAAGGTACGTATTTACTTATATGCATATTCAAGTGTTTTTTTAGTTACTGTAAGTAATGTAACTAAAAAAAACGAAAAAAAAACTGTATATAAATTTGTAAAACTAATTATCTTCAGCAATAAGGCTTTATTATATTATTATGTATTCGAGTGTTTTTAGACTTAAATACGCTTTACCGCTCGCTATGCAAAACTAAAAAAAAACATTTTAAACTTATATAACTTTTTATTTATAAACTACTTTTGTCCGAAACTTTGTTCATGCGATATAAAAAAACTTGGCAAGTAGTCTATGTGATCCTCCAGACTATGTTCTACGTGTATGCCAAATTTCATCAAGATCCACTCAGCCGTTCTGGATATACCTTCTAAAAATATCTACATACATTCGCATCTTACTAACATTATAATTACTAATGTTTGGATGGATGGATAGATGTTTGTTGGTAGGTAATGTCTTAAACAGCTGCATGAATATCGCTGAAATTTGACATAAATGTAGAACATAGCCTAGAAACACATAGGCTACTTATTAAGTTTTTTTTTTTATGGCGTGGACGGTGTCGCGGGCGACAGTTAGTTTGTAATATTAGTAAGATAGGTATGATTCGTTCAACATGTCTTAGGTTAAACAGTATTTGGTAAGATATAGATGTGATGATGTTGTTAGGAAGGTGCAGGCGCTCCTCTGTCGCTGCTGGGTGTGCGAGGTCTGCGCGACGAGCCGCTGCACCGCTCCGCGCACTGCATCCCGCACCCCGCACACCACAGACCTCTCGTCAACCCCACGCTGCAGGTAACTACGATATTTTTTATTTGTGCTTCGTAGTCACGTGACTCGTTTAAAAACATCGATCAGAGCGAATGAATTCGGACTGTAAACATATGTGAAATGAATTTGATTTTTTTTGGAAGAAAAAGAGTATATTGTAATGGGACAGCTGCCCCTTGCAATTCCCATGGTTTACTTTATAATTTACTAGTTGTCGCTCGCGATTCCGTTCGCATAATATGAAAAAAAACTTAGTATGAAGTCTGTTTTCTTTCCATTTATATTAGTAAGATTATATCTAAAAATTTGACTTAATATTTTTGGTTCTTATTTTTTAAAAAATATTGGAAGTAATATGGAAAGCATCGTCGTATATAGGTGTTCTTCTCGCAGGAGTTGTCTGGGGGTGTGAGCGCGGGCTCGGAACCCGACCTGAACGCTGTGCCCGCACCCCCCGCCACAGCGCCCTCTGCAGCACCCTCGCTGGACGTCAGCGCCACCTCCAGCGAGGACGACAGGCCTAAGGACAAGAGCAGTCAGTCTACATCATGTTACACTTGTTTAATGGACTCTTAGAGAGTCATTTAGATTGGATCTCTTATATTAAAGCCTCAATTAAAGTTTTTCGCACTAAAATATTTTAACTATCACAATCAGATTGCGTTAATTGGTTTTTAAAGGAACTTTTTGTAGAGATTTAGCGAGATAACTTTACTCAAGGTCACCCTCGAGTACTACGGTACGCTGTATGATGTTCTGTGCTAACAAGACATTTGAAAGGTGTTTGCTTGAAATAATTGACTTTATTTATCATTGGTGAGGTCGTTCCCGTGCGCGTGCGGCGCTGGTGAAGCGCGTGCGGTCAGTGGCGGTGTTCTCGCTGGGGTTGCGGCGAGCGCGCGAGGCTCACGCCGCGACGGACCGCAGCGCGCACTCGCCGCGCACGCCCCGCACACCGCGCACACCTGACAAACCTGTACGTACTCACATATAGTCGTCACTTTCATTCCCTTTCACATAACAGAGGCAACGATATGAACCACTCATCTCTATAATTCTATAGGTTTTAAATGTTTTTGAAGTTCCCGATACTTAATTTTGTCACTATTATTAGTTCCAATCCTCGCCACCGCTATCAACCGCAATTGGTAGCGCTAAAATGGCGCAGATCTAAAAGGCACAAAATAAAACGGTTTACAGCCTGTCCATATATTGAGTTCAGTGATATGAACACAAGAGTCAATCGAATTCAACGACAACACACTCATTACTGATTCAATTAAAATGAATGAGCTAAAGATCAGCTCATTTTTCGCATGTGTGAAGCTGATCGATGAACTGACTCGCAGGTCAGTCCAGCTTGCAAATGCAGAGTTAAATTTAACTATTGAAAGATGTTTTATTTCAATTATTTCTAAACAACTGAAAGGGATGACAATATGTTTTTAATACAAATGTTTGGATGTTTTTCCACAGACTCTGCCGGCGCCGATGTTGGGTGGAGAGCTATCATTGATACCCATAGAACAACTCATACAAGTAGAGGACGTCAAGCCACGACAGGTCACGTAAAAGTTCATACATCAACATTCACTTGGCGAAAATACCTTCTCAAATTCTCTTTTAGCTATAAATATAATGAAATACTTGAAATTATCATGTCATAATAATATTCGATCTATTATTTTTTTTATAGACCAACAAGGCTATATGAACCGAAAAAAATTGTCAGCTCACTAGCGCCCCTCAGTAAACAACAAAAAATGTCTCAAAAACCTTTGTACAGTACAACAGCTGCAATTTTTTTGATTTTATGTTTTTCTCTATAACTAAATAGGTTTTATATATATATATATATATATATATTGACAGATCCAACTGCTATCGCTCTGCCCCACACTGGTTCATATATCCTTGTTGGACATTTTTGAATTATTTATAATAGTTTAAATTAAAGGTTCTTTATGAAATTCTTAACTGTTCAGATCTTTAATGTCTGATTTTTTAATATAGTTGTATTTTAGTATGTGTGTGTTTATATTTATTGCTGAATACATTGTTAATCGTAGGTTTCTGAGACCAAAAATATCTCTATAAAACATCGTCATCCCTGTTATTGACAAACAGAGATTGTAATATGTTTTATACCGGGATTTTGGTCTCAGAAACCAACGATAATTCATTTAACTTTAGTTATAGATAAAATGTCACTTGTTTAACCCATCACATTATTTTTATGACCATTATCTCAAGTTGTAAAAGCCTTTAATTGTAAATAATACATATTGTGTTATCAACTTTGTGGAAACATTTATTTGCTTTTATAAATTTCAATAAGAATATTGTATACATTTTTTATCAATTGTTGGCTAAATTGTATTATATTCAATTAAAGGTATAGTTCGACAAGGATATCTGACTCTTAAACTATAACAACTAAATTATAACAGCTCACTAGCGCCCCTCTGTCAATATCAATTTTTTTTTACATGTTATTCATACTATACTATACATACAAATGCCGGCAACACATCTGCGGTTCCTCTGGTATTGCTTATGTCCATAGGCGTCGTTGAATACCTCGGTGTTCTCACTGCTCGTTTGACCACTTCTGTTAAAAAAAAACTATTTGTCATTTTTTTCTTTTTATGCGATTTTCTATGTCCAAGCAGGTTTTATATATTTTCTGACAGTAATAATCGTAGTACGATAGTAGTAGCGTCTCTCATCAGGTCAGATATCCTTGTTAGATTATAGATATTGTTATTAATACAAAAGTACAAGATAATGACTAGATAATGCCACCATAGACTACGTTTAGACCATAGATAATAGATTGTACTGTTGTTGTAATTGCAAATAATGTAATAAATAGGTTTAGGTTTAGAGATTATTGTTTATGGCCTATTAATTTTTTTTTGTGTTAAAATGGTTGCATTACACTAAAATCCAAGAAAACGTTATGATTTTATATATACATATTTTATTTTAATTATTAATAATATAAAAAAAGATGGGTACAGACTTTGCTAAATATTTTTTTTTATATTTTAATATATTTTTGAAGAGTTTAAATAGTGACATATTAAAATCAAACATATTTTATCTTTCTTTTCGTATTAATTTTTTTTTAATTAAAATATGTCGTCCGTATCTTAGTATACGATTTTATCTATTAAACAGTTATCCCTACTTACCTGGGACCAATATCATCCTATATAAAAAACATCATTAATAATATCGAGTATTCGGTATACATACATATTAATAAAATTGGCGTGTCTGTATGTAATATTGGAAAAAGTACAATTTCGTATACATGATGTATTTGCTGATGGTACTAATTTTTTAAAATGTTGTCTGTATGTCTGTAATGTCGCGTTTGTTCCAACATTTTGAAAAGCTTGGCCGATTTTGACTTGAAGGCATATTGTAGAATATTTTTTTTCATTTTTCACCGACGAAGTCGCAGGCGACTGCTATGTGTACTGTTACTTTGTATTTAGCTATGTCTGTGTCCATCTTTAACTGTTTAGTTTCCACAGTCGCAACCCTGTACAAATATTTAATGCCATCCCTTTCTTTCTCTTTGAATAAAATGAGATAACATTATGGTGGGTCTTTGACTGTGGTATCTGACTGTTACATTTTTGTATGTTTGGATCCAATACTTAAAAATTATTAATCGATATTTTAATTAATTAATTGAATATGGAATGTTTTTATACGTTTAGGTGATATATATCACGTCTGTATTGAAAAGCAATCGTTTGACAATAATTTGGTATCGTTTGATGTGATTTTTCGTTGTCGAAATAATTCTCAAATTAAATATTTAATCAGAGAAACAAATAATATAAGTATCATATTGAATTGGTACAGCTTTTTATAAAAAAAATATTAAATTTATGTTTTTTTTACACATACTTTAAAATGATTACTTTTGTCCACTTTCTACGTAAAAAAAAATTCTAATGTCATCCAATGTTTATGACAGTTTGGAATAATACCAAGTGCCTTTATAACTAAATCACTCACCTCTATAAATGGATAGGCTATAAGTCGTGCCATTTTGTTCCTTTTTGATGTTCACCATTTTGATATTTTGTGTTGGTAGTGGTGAGGATTCGAATTAAAAAGAGATAGATATAACTATTAGAAACGAGTCAAAAGCTCTTATTTCAAAGCAATGTCCGATCCATTTATAGAGTTCATTGGTAGAACTCTACTGCGCTAACACTAGTATTATTACATATTGGTATCTCTTTCATTCTCTTTGAGAAAACAGAGACCACCATATGTCATAAGGCACTACAGACGGATTTTTACTACGTAATATTTGTTTCTCTGATGACTTAGTTTTACAAATCTGTCTCTGTCTTCATCTTTTTAATACAGCTAGGACTTTCCAATGTTTCCTCGTTACTTGTTAAAGTTAAGTAGATAAATAAGGCGAGTTGAAATCGATTCTTTTTTAATATCGAGACATCGATCAGTTAAGCGTTAACACAAATTATTATCTGATTTTTCTTGTCTTATTATATTTTTGAAAGCGCTTTTATTTATTTTTTAAATATTGTATTTCAGGTGACTTTATACCATTATATTAATATTATAAAATTGTATATTAAGTTTTTACAATTATTGTAAAGTTTCTTATTAGAAATTAACTTTAGGTTATGCAACTGGTTACAAAACAACAGTTAATTCGACAACAGTCAATATGAGCAAACTTTGCCATATATTTGATATTTTTTGGCCCTAACTAATATATTTGTATCTTAAACACTACGGTCACTGACCTCTATACATGGATAGGCTATGACGTGTACTAATCTGTGCCTATTTGATCTTCGCTATATTGTCGTTGACGGTTGATAAAGTTGTTGACGATTCGAACTAATAATAAATTTAACTATCAGGAACTTCAACGTTATGTTGTATACTCTTTCAAGCAATATCCTATCTATTTATTGAGATTAGTGAGTTCGGTACATTTGTATAAAAGTTTTCAAATATCTTGGCGGTTCGTTACAACTTCGAGCCGCTAAAAAGATTAAAATGATCTATACTTTGAATAGTACAGTACACTTTAAATGTGACAAGTTTAATGCTATTATAAGTATGTAATAGTTATTTAGAAGTAATTTGCTGTTTCTCTCATAAATTAATCCATTATTTTTGATATTAAGCTTTGTGCTACAATGTTAATAATTTAAATTATAATATTGCGAAGGATAGCTTTATTAAGGGTAAATACGTGTAGCTTCTGATATACGCTATTATGTTTCTGTGGGTTTCGACTGTTGTAATACTTGTATAACAACATTGTATAATAATTTATTTTATTAATTTTGAAAACTGGAAATAATTTTCTTATCCAATTGTTATAACAGTCGTGGTTAATCTAGCTTATAAAGAGTACATTTAGCTTCCATCCGTCATTACCAAGAGTTTTGTAGGTAGACAAAAAATCAATCTAAGAAACGTCCAACGAGAAATCTAGATTTTTCTGTTGCTATATGTAAGTTATATTTTTGATACGTCATTTGCATTCAGTTTTAAATTAAAAAGAAAAATCATTTCCACAGTTAGAGTTGAATGGTCACTAAGTAAGCCCCTTAGAGTAGATTTAGTAAAGAAAATTACACTAAGGGTATGCTTAACTAACCATTAAATGACTTTGAATATCGTTAATCTTGATGTTTATAGACCGACAGTCATTTGACTAGGAGGGCGTAAATTATGATAGCTCACTAGCGCCCCTCAGTCAATATAAAAAAGTCAAAAATCCTTGTACTGTAACTTTCTTGTATTACTTATATTATAGCATTTATATAATTATTTTATGTATATTACAATCTAACCGCCATAACAGCGCTTTTCTTAACAGTTCAGAGTTGTCAGAATGTTAAGTTAAATTATTTTAATAGTACAAAATTATCTTTAATATATCCAGTAATCTATAGCTGAGTTTAATCTTATCTTAATTACTTTAAGCTTACCGTTGATAAGGATAAAAAATTACGTTTCCTTAATCGAAGGATAAGAGTGCGTTTCCACTGGCGCGAAGACTTGAAAAGGCGATGACAAAATTTCGGTTTCTTTGTAGTATCGATTTAAACATAATTTTAGTTTCTGCAGTGGGGTAGTAGAGTAATACTTAATATTCTAGGAGGAATAAAGTACGAATGTCTTACGCGTCAGTGAAAACGCACCTTAATTCGTCATTGATAGCAAAACGCTGCTGGTTGGTGTATTTTATAATGGTTACAAGTGCTTCGTGTTGCGAAATAGTGTTGAACGATCGAGCAATATATATGTATGTTGTTACGTATTTATTTTTTATACGGAATATTAATAAATGTTGCATTTTTAACGTAGAATTAAAGAAATTAAGTTTGCAATAATATATAAAGAATGTTTTATTCTTAAACATAATATCCCACCTAAATTAATTTTCAACTTACTAGAACCTATTTACTTTTCCATTTTTCTTTATTCTACACTTATATTTGTTAATCTTTGGCACATATTGCCATATACAGTATGATGCGTGTTGTTATAACCTCAGGTTAAAATACTAGAGATGCCTACTGTTTTATTATCGACAACCCTCCCCCACTCCTGTTCTAGACTAGGAATTACTAGTAGTAGTGTCTCGTAGGATGATGTGTTCGAAATTCGACTGATATGGGTAATTTCGCGAAGGCAGAATGATTTTCAAATACTTGTATTGCTATCTCTAATGTTTTTAAAGAGAATGATAGGGATGGTAATATTAAATAATAAAACAACATATGGTTAAAATACCTTTATTAGATAAACACTGACAGCGGATACAAGATATAATATATAAACAAGAAATACATAACACAGCTGTAAAGTAAAAAAAATAAGATTTTATATCAAATAATAAAACTTAATAGCAAATAACAAATGTTCTTACATAAATTTTTAATAAAGAATATATAATAAAATTAATTTAACTTTGTAAATGCATAATATTTTTTATAAGTACAATTATATTATATTTATGCAATGGATAAGTCGCTTAAATATTACTGAATACTAAGAAAACTTATAGATAATGCTAACAGCACTAAAATAGTTTGATAGAAAAAGAAACATAAATAGTTTCATTATAAAAGTAATTCTGACCAAATTTGTTCAAATCTTGTACTTCGTATACAAAAATAAATGCCAATTATAATTCAAAAAGCGAGGTAATCCTTTTCTATCATAGAATAACGTAAATAAGCACATGTATTAGACGAAAGATTAAACAATTTTTTTTTTGCTTATAAGCAATTTTTTCATTTTTTTCTTCTCTAACACCGAAATGAGTATTTTTATTCTTCTAATAGGCTACATTGAATTCTTGATTATTGAAATGACTAGGTTTTACTGATCTCTACATCTAGTTTTTAACTACAATTGATTTAAATTGTAAACTAATACAATAAGATTATGAATAAAACCCCTTGGATACATTTGACGTCTGAAACACGTCATTCAATTTTTTCCCCTAAGAGCGGATGACATACATTCTTACATAAAATGTACTGCCTTTACATACTCCAAGCAACCAAAAATTATTTTCGTTCCATATGCAAAAACTTTCTCAAAAAAATCCGTACCCAAGGGGTTAATATCGTTTTATAAACATACAGTAAAGATATTGTTTTTGAAACGTCTACGTACATTTAAAGCTAACATAGAAAATGAGAAATTCCTAGAACATTGGCAAATAAATAAAGCATATACTCTTATACTAAGAGCTGGAATGGAGTTATTATGCCATTTTAGGCCGAAAAAATCTGCTTGCTAATATCTAGACATATCTCCTCTTCTTAAAGTCACCGTAGATATATTTTTGAAGCAAAAAACTTAGTATTTCCGGATTATCCAATTCTTTAATCTTCTCCAAAGTATCCACAAATGTATCATAGTTAGCAGGCTCTTTGTTAGTAGGAAGCAACATAAGTGCTAAGAGATAAATCTCATAGAATTTGAATCGTGTTAAACGATTACATATTGCAATTAAAACCACTTCCAGATCTTCGTCTGTGACACGTGCAAGCACTTTGATTTCAATTATTAGTTTTTCGTTTATCTGTGGAAGGAAGCTGCTGTAAAACTGTCCCTTGTTGATTAAATCAACAGCTAAGTTTCCGACCTCATCCGCGAAGTCGTCGTACAATTTACCGCCTTCATTTTTCTCCGATTGATCCTTTTTGGTCAAGTCCAGATTTGAACAGAGCTCTTTGGTTATAATCACCAACCGCAGTTCCCATACTGTCAAATACATTTCGTCTAACGGCAATACCTCTTCAACTGTTTGTAATACTTTTTCGAATATTGTCTTAACGTATTTGAAATTCTCAAAGTTGTTGTTACTGTTCAAATGAAGACTGGATATGAAGTTCGTACAGAACAGTCTTATGGTGTACGTATTGTCATGAACCATTGCCCACATCTCGCCACACATTTTTATAATAGATGTAACCAAGACAATGCTATCTTTCACTTCTTCCTCGTTTCGTACGGATACAATATATTTAGCGACCAATGCCCATTTAGTTTTAACCCTGTCGCTTAACTCACGACTCTTATAACGCGGTTGAATTTTCTTATCTGTTAACATTTCATTTACATGTGGCATAATAACGGATTCCTTTACGAATTTTCTATCCATTAAAGTTATATTGGATTTGATAGCTCGCAGCACTTGATATTGGGTATCTATATTTGCACCCTTTTCTTTAAATTGACCGACTGACTCCCACGCGGTCTTTAATAGGTCCCCGATAAAACGTTGCGGTAATTTGGAAGAAGTTAACAGACTGTAAATAACTTTGTCGTCATCTTCGTGTACTTCAGATGTGAAAACTTTCAATGCCTCGAACAGCTCGTTCTGTGAAGCTTTGTCTTCTGCCAATATTTTCTCAAATAGATTTTTATAAAGCAGCAACCTCAATGAGATATTTTTCGTATTTTTCCAAACTGTTAACACGAGCACTTTTAAGTCTTCTGCATTGTAAGATTTGAAAGCGAGACGCAATCCGTGTTTTTGAATAGACAACGGAGCGTTCAACGTCGCCTCTATGAATTTAGTTGCGAGTGGTTTAGGTAGATTGACGAAATAGTAATTAAACATTGGAATACTATAATGAACGTAGTCGCCAATTAAGTACATTAGGACATTGGACAGCGGCACGGGTGGACGCGAGTAGCATGCGTAACGACAAATTGCCCTTTGTATATCAAGTAATTGGGAGTTAATTTTTTCATGAGCAATTTTCGGTTCATGAGGCTTATATTTGAACATGAAATCTACTTTAGATTCTTCATCGGATAATTGAAATACACCATAAACTGATGTATAAATAAAAGTATGATTACTTTTAGGATCTGATATTATATCAAGGAAGAACTTAAGATAATCCTTGGCAACGTCTTTAGCAAAATAAATTTTCAATTTTCTCAACAATTGGTTAATCCTGAATGAATATGTATTTGCAAGAGTTTCTTTTATATTTGGAAACTTATTCTTCATTTGTGTTGCGTCTTTCTTTAACAGGCGTAACAATTCACCCTCTTCTAATATATTGACGACTACTTTCTCTTTTAATATGTGATGGTTTTTAAAGTTTTCCCAATCTAACTTGATGTATTTCATTATAGGATCGGGACAATCCTCTTTAACTTTCTCAAATATCTCCATCACTCGAAGGACCGACGATATATAACGTCGAATACTATTCCTTTCTTCGCCTTCATAATTTTTTCCATCAAACTCTTTTATTTTAACAGTGTACAAATTCATTAGATAATTGTATAATATTTGGCGTTTCTCCATCGATAGTTTATCTACATAAAGATAATTGAAGCCAGAATATAAGATGTCTCTGAATTGTTCAGGTATTTCTTTGCCATGAACTATATTGTAAATTACCACAAGCAACCTGAAGTCTGTCATGAAGAAGAAACCAGAGTTACTATATATGTGCATACTGTATAGAATTTTATTGAATCCATTCCAACATTCGTCATCAAATTCGAAAACATTGTGATTAATAATTACTGTTTTCATAAAATGTTCTTTATTGGATGAACTCTCATTGACATGTCTTTCGTAATAATATTTAAATAACTTCTCCAAATCTTGTTGAGTTTTAGCAGATTCTACTAAAATATTTATCATTTCACCTCGTTTTTCTTTATCTATAGTTATCATTATGTATTTCTTAATACCTTCCAATGCGATATCAAAATTAACAAACTGATACCATTTAAAATCTTTACCTGGTCCCAATACTTCTTGTTGACTCTCAATTTGACTTAAAGCCCATTTTTCTTTCTCTTCTTCGTTAAACATGTCATAGAAACGATAATTATAAAAATGCATACATGTCTCAAAATCCTCATTAGGATAAGCATCTGAAAATATTTTCTTCAAGAAAGGAAACATCTCTTGCTTTGGTATTACATCAAGAATGTACTTATTTGTTCTTCTATAATTGTCTAACCAGAAGTTAGAAGCAGACGAAGGCAGCAAAGCTACAGCAAATGATTTTGCATCTTCAATCGTACTATATTTAACCACTTGAGTTTTATTCAAAATCGATAAATACAACAATGGCTTCTTCAAAACTCTATCTTTGTGTTTTTTCATAATATCTTTTGACATTCTCAATCCTAATTCATCTGATTTCATTCTGTATTCAATGTGCACAAATATTTCTATCAGATCTAGATATTTGACATCTGACACAGAATACAAATGACGAAGATCAAGCAAGTATCTGCGCACTTTATGTGCTCCATCTTTGGTTTTCGAATAAGCTTCTAAAAGAGTAATGGAATCACCAAAGAAATTCTTAAGGAAAACTGATTCCTCCCAAACATCTTTCAAATTCAGACCTTTGTTGATAATATCCAGTTTAAAATTATCAGGGGTAATAATGAGAAATTTGTGAGCAATAGTAGTCAGTTTCTTTTCAATGCAGTAGTTGTAAAAAGCGATGATTCTCTCTTCAGATTTGAGATGAGTATATATTGCCACTAGAAGTTTTTTCTTCATTTTAATTGACATAAATGGAAATATGTTCTGATGAAGATAATCGGGATTAATAATATTTGAATATTCATCTTCAAATATCCAAGAACATTTTAAGGCTCTTGATATATAAAGGCTGTCACCACATTTAAATGTATTAAGAATATAATCAATATTTTTATAATTGGATGCCAAATCTATTTTAAACAACTTGTCGACATCAGTAGCTTCATGTTTATCACGAACAGATTCAAAGGGTATATTCTTCTTTGTGGCATCCCTGACCCTCTTGTTCAATTCTTTTTGCCTTTCAGGCAGATTATGGCCTTTTAAATTAATCATTTTTAAGTTTGCCTAAAAAAATAATTTAAATTATTAAATTTGAAAGATAGGCCCGGCCATAGATATATATTTACATATTAATGGAGTGTATATTATTCATAACACCATTTTCTAAATATCATTAGCTATGTAATGTTAATGTGGGGAATTATCTCAAATTCAGGAAAATGCAGTATAAAGAAATTGAAAGCAAACAATTCTAGTATAAAGTAGTTGTTAAAATGTTTTTATTTTTTTTAATATTATTTTTTTGTTTTTTTTTATTAATTTGTTTTTTGAAAACGTCGAAACTAATATTTTACTAACAACTAAGAAATAAACTAGAAAAGACTTTGTATTTGAATTACTTTTAAATATGAATGATTACTGTGAATGACCGGGGAAATTTAACTCAAAGGCCTCCAGAGACCTTTCTATGCCTCACTTTTGTGCTCCAGATTAGGTATATATCTATGGATAGAGATTAAATTGTAGAGTCATATTTTTGTATGTTGCTATAATCTCTGTCATGGTTGGATTTTGGGTGTGGCATTTTGCTATTTTTTAAATAATTAGATTTATTTTTTTGAACAAATGTGACATATTACAATATAATATATTCAATATATAAATAGAAATTATATATTACTATTATATATATACCAATATATAATAGTAATACATAATATCGATCATAGATTTACTTTTAATCAAAAATATTGTTTTTTTTGTCTAATTTTTGATTCCAATTACTATTATTCAAAACAAGCATACGACATTTTTCGCCCAGCAAGCTTTTCAGGATAAGTTCGCCATACTATAGGTAAATTCGCAATACCAAGTTATATTTAAAATAAATGAAATTTTAATTTACAACATCGCAACTCACCTGTAATCAGTACTGAGTTTTCATTCCAGCGTCCGATGGTCGATAGGCTTCGATTTTCCAAAATATCGTGATGTTAGATTTTGAATGGCTGATCTTCTCCAAGACCAAGACCCCAGGAAAGGACCCCTAGAATATTTAAAATCGATAAAACACTTTACTACCTTTTATTGATGATTTTATGTTCCGGTAACGAGACCTTTAAGCCAAATTTATTACTTTTTACAAACTAACAACTGCTATCAACTATATGTTTCTGAACCGTCGTAAACCTTGGTTCCTTTATAAATGAACAGATAGTTTTTCCTTTAACCACCCACAATCCAAATACTCGCAACAGGTTGGAAAGTAAATGACGGATAGGTGATGGTTAGGTACCTGATACAGGCAAGCGAAACTTTTATAATCTGTGCTACAAATTGAACGCAAACGGAGATCCTCCATCTTGAAAATTGTGTATCTATCTCACTCATAACTTTCTGTATAATTTTTGGGCTGTATTAAAAAAAAAATAGTGCATATGAATAAATTGTGATTTAAAATTTTATGATTTCTTTACATTTAAAGTTTGGATTATAAATAAACAACAATTTAATCTAGTTAATTTAAGTATGTAATTTAAAATTTACAATTTATTTGTATTCATCATGAAAACAAGACAACGATGTCCTTCGCCGTCCGCAATTAAACCAAAGAGTATACGGGACTCTTGACTAATTAGATACACAAACGGAGAATAAAAATTGACATTTTCAATGCTAGCAATATTATGAACAAGTCTACGTTGCTACCAACCTAAAAAAAATCAATCTGTAAGTTTCCTTTTTGACGTTTGAAAGTATTATTCGAGGGAAAACAATTTTGGAAAAATAAAACAATTTCGTTAATTGCAACTTTATTTTATCTTCTGACTAAAGCGAACATATTTTAAGAACGCAACATAATGCTCATTGCTTTCGTAATAATACCATTATTGTTTAGTTACCAACAAAATACCCCAACTATAATAAATGCTTATTTGTTCCAGTTTGTTTATTTGATAGCTCATATTTTCTGATAGAACTGGAGTAGTAGTGCCACTCTCGTCGGAAGAAATAGAATAGCACTGGAAAGAGATTAGCTCCTATCTGTAGGTAAAATATTTAGAAAATTGCTAACAAGACAATATGCATTGAAGCAAAACAAATCGTCATCATCAAGCTCACTATACGGACACACTATATTCCACTGAGGAGCTCGGAGCCTACCCTTAAGAATGCGACTAGGTTTTATTCAACAACTCAGAGCCAGTGAGGGTTGGTTGACTTCACACATATCTTTGAATTTCTATGCAGTTGTATGCGATTTGTAATTACAGTAAGAATGTCGGATGGATGTTATCATGAAATTCGAAGAACGCATTATTATATAGCGGAGATCGTACCTGGATATGTAAAATATGATCCGGTCAAGCGCCAACTGCATTGCTACATTAATTCAAACTTTTCCTATCAAAACATTGCAAATGTAAGTCATGTTAAATATAATGTAATGTAAAAATAGAATACAATATTTAAGTTTTACTTCTCCAATAAATTCAAAAAATTATCATGAACCTAAAGATTCCGCATATTAACTCTTTTGTTATTACTATTCTCCATAGATGTGTAACCTATAGATTCCTTAACGAGGAGAAATAATGAGCTTAGGAGGCATCGTTTTGGGGTAAAGTACCTGTGTTGAAATTTAAATTACTTGTAAGAAAATTGTATACAATCTCTGTTTATTTTTTATTACTTAGTTCAAAAAAGGTTTAGGTTTTATTATAAGTTGTGATATTTGTAACATCCAAATTTAATAAATTAATTTTGTTTCATATTTTTCACTAAATGGTATTTCTTTTAATCTTTTGTACTTGATACTTAATTCCCTATATTTTATTATATTTTTATTTTCTATACACTGCATTTCCCAATTTCGAGAAAATCTTGTTATGCTAGTGTATATTTTATATTAAAGTCTAATACATATTACTAAAAATTGTCATATTATTAACATCAAACTAATATAAAACACTAAATCTATAGGTTACACATCTATATATCAATATTGACATTAATATAGTTACTAGCATTTCCTGCAACATGGTGACTCTTTTTTAGATTTGCGGTTAAACTACTCCATATAATAAGTTATTTTTCAAATTTAGTTTAGAATTACAATTATCAAACAATCAAACTTTGTAGCATAGATGTTGCAGCGACATGCAGTCAGTAATTCTGAAGCAGATTCCTTCATTTAATAATTCTGTAGAACTGGAAGAGGTGCATTCATTCATCTGCAACAGTATGAAACGGTAATTAATTGATTCAATTTAATTATTGCTTTTCACCTAATTACATACCTTATTAAAAAAAAGTGGTTTCTTTGATTATATGGATCTCTTCCCCTTTACTTACAAAACTTCTTTGCAATTCTCTACAATGAAGGAACTCACAAACCATGTAAAAAAATTATGATTAGTTTTTACAGGTACAGATAGGAACTTTTATTGCCTGCCCATTTTTGTGAAATGTTTATGATAGAATCATAAATCAAATTAGTTTGAAAAACTTGTCATGACATGACCAATTTACAGTTTAATCTACAATATTTGAAACAATAATAGAGAGATATTCTACACACAACCTAAATAATGTTTAAGTTAATTTTTATTATTAAATCTTTTTCATGTTTCGAGCAAACCATATTATACTAAATATCAAGCCTTTTTAAAAGGTTAAAATTGTTCAAATAATTGCTGGAAATATGTGCTTTGGGAATTATTATTAATACTTAATATTTACCACTTACCATGTAGAATTTGGCATATGTCTTGTACTTACTTTTATGTTATTTTCATCAATTTTTGTTGTAAATTTACTTTTCAGCAATCAGCAAAAGGTCACAAGTTCTAGTTCAACATTTAGTTCTTTTAAATATGAATAGAATGTAAATTTTCTCTTTGTTCAAATTCTATTTCTGTGAATCCATAGATTATGTTTTCTACTGCTTTTTACTTGTTTCACACCTAAAAACAGAAAGTATTAAAAATTGATAAGTTGTTCATACAATGTTCTCCCTTTGTAGTTAATTATAACTGTAAAGCTTATTCTTATAATTTAATAAGTTACAAAAACTTCAGAGGTTGGATGTAACTGCTGGTAACTTAGTTTAAATAGAAAAATAAACTATTACAGATATCTTTATTTTTATTAAATCACATATTGTTGATGTTATTCATAATTTTATTATTTTTATTTTTATTTATTTATTTAAAAACTTATAAATAAACATAATATATTATAATAAACTTATTTATAAACAAACCTAAAGATGTGATGTGATGTGACTTTTTAACAATACAAAACAAAAACAAACGAGAGTCCTAAGTTCTTGGTCTCCATGGGGAAGACCGAACAAGCTCTGGAAGTATTGAAGAAGATATATGCTATCAACACTGGAAATTCACTAAGCAACTTTCCTGTAAGTAATCAGTAATTCCTGTAAAATATTTGTTTAGTGATACATTGCGACAAGAAGATGGTCAAGAGAAGAAACAGTTGTGTTCTTGTTTTATCTTTATGATAGGTTGGTGTTCTTCTTTTTAAAATTTAATTGTTCCTTTTTAGATTACCAAATTGATAGTAGACGCGGACCAGGCTGTGACTCGCGAGGACTCGTTCGTGAAGGCGATGTGGGAGCAGACGGTTGCGCTGTTTCGGCCGCCCATGCTCAGGGAGACTCTTAGGCTGTTCTACCTCGTCACTGTTATTTATATGACGTAAGTTTCCTCTGGGCCCAGCACGAATATTTGTGACAATCGCCTTCTTAACGTCATCATAAATTATATCAAATTTACTATAAGATTTGTGGTGTACTTTAAACCCGATAAGCGTATAAATTTTATTACAACTTTTGTCGATAATGATACGATAACCGTTGTGACAAAACAATAATAAATTTCGGTCAATTTGTCATTGGAAAGTGAGTCACAGTCCCATTTTAAAGTCCAACCCAAACACAACAATAAACAAAGTCTTTTAACATTTGAATAATAATTTTATTTGGAACAACTTTACAACAGCGAATCAAACCAAGTTTTCATAAAATCAATTTTAAACTTTAGGAAATTATCACCATGAGTATTATTGCTATGAAGATTGCTGAAGATGAATATATTACTATGAAGATTTTTTTCGGGGTCTTAATTTATTTCAGTGAGATAATAAAATTGTTTCATATGTTTTCAGTTTTGTCACAGGTATGCTGACACTCACAATTTTTATAAAATCACATGTTATAATAGAAAATATTTTCGCTCTTTCGATGTTTTTTTATGGTATTAAAAATGTTCCAAACCTAACCTTTCCAGTTTGCTTTTGGTATTTTATTACATGTTATAAACCTAGCTTTACTTATCCTGCGCTTTTCTATTGTTCCAAACTTAACTTACCCTATGTAGTTTTCTTCGTTTTTTTTTTCAACTTAAGTTACGACTCCAAAAAAAAACTTCCAAAACAGTGTAAGAATATTCCCTATCGTTTAAGACAAATGTAATGGAAATTTGGCTTGATTCGGTTTTGTGAAGCATTACCTGTTATTTTATTAAGAATTTCTATACAATTTCAAAGCGAACTTTCATTTTATTGACTTTTACTAAGTAATTACGAATATAAAAACATTTAGCAACATTTTAACGTAAATATGGAATAAGATTTATTTACGTACATAAAATATCAAGTATAGTCATTGATACTTTATTTGATATTTAGTGAGATAAAATAATAGTCAAAACAACAAAAAATACAAAATATAGTACTATTGTATTAAAAAAACACAATGTAATTACCACATGGTTCTTGGAAATCTTCTCAGAAGAAAACATCAGCTTTCTAACTCTCAAAATTATAATACACTTCATCCCACAATTCACACTGAAACTACAATATTCTTATCAAATAAGGTTAGGTTTAAAATATAATAATATTATAAACAAATTTCTTATAAAGACATAAAGGCTTAATTTCGTTTTTAAAATTACTCCAACTGCGGTCATTCGTTACCCATTCACTGAGCCACGTTTTAGCATCTCCTTGTAAACAATTGCCAATGTGAGAAAGACATTCGTGATCACTCCAATTATTAGAAGACCTAGCACGGTCTACTTCTTCACACCATGTCTCTATGTCATGCGATTTCGCGACCGACTCCTACTCTGCCGCCTCTTATTAGGCATGTATTCTTTTTTTTAGCAAGTATTTAAAATTAGACGTAATTCCAAGCAGGCCATTCAAGGGTAAATAAATGATCAATAGTGTAGACACGACAAAATATTAAAATTGAGGCAAT